AAGAGTGGATGGTGTGTTTGTGGGTTGAAAAAACATTTTAGTTATGCTTCCTATTATTGTTCAAAAGAACTTTTAAAATGCCGTACGTATCTCGTGGCTCTGCCAAAGCAGGTAGGGCTGCACGGGGCTCTGGGGATGGCTGTGGTCAGCTGACACAGGCTTATTCCTCCAGGGCAGGCTTGTCTCCACAGATTTCTGTCAGAGCTGTCAGAAATAAAGTCAGCAGATCACCAATGGATTAACAGGTGAGGAGCCAGTGAAGCTGTGGTTGAGGGGACAATTGCTGGCCAGGTATAGAGGAGAGGTGACTGGGAAGGTTTGTGGCAGGGATGTGGGCAAAGGCTAGCGGGTTTTAGAAGAGAAACCTAGGCTGTGACATTGCAGTCCCATTCTGCAAAAGCCAGAAATGGCATGTTGTGTTTCCTTCTTGGGCCTGCCTTCACATTCTTTAGCAGAACAATAGTAATAAAAGAATAATCCAGTGAAGCTTGGCTTCCTGTGGATTTTGTGGGCTTCACAGACTCCCTGATACCTGACAAGGATGAAATGCTTCAGACTTTTTAGTTTTCATGGGGCACTGTTTAGGATTGGTCTCTAATCTGGGCTGGTTTTGCACGACTTTAAAGAACCAAGCAGTTTTGAGGACCCTCTCTTCAGAAACTGGAGTTAAAATTGCCCAGTAACTTCAAACGGTTGCTTTGAGTGGTGAGGAGGAGTATGAGCTGATTGACAATGTCACTGTGTAAGCCTTTTTCTTCTTTCAGGGAATCTGAAATTCTGCGGCCAAAGAAAATGAGCTCCTGTCTGTCTCATCAACTATTGTGTGGCAAAGACATCATTCAACAGCTTCTGACAAGCCTAATTTTGACTACATGGAGCTCTTCCTGGTTTTATAGTTACTTCCCTCATCACCTTTCTGGTGTAAGGATTTCTGGTATGTGTAGGGAGTTGTAAGGGTAGAAATCTCACTTTTATTTGTTTGCTAATAGGGTTGCTCTTATCTGAATGGATTTCTGTGATGCTAGTAAAACTGCTGGCAGTCTAGTGCCAGCCTTTCACTAAGGGCAGGCCCTTCTGGCTGGAGGTTAGCGACTTTGTCATCTCTCTCATCCTCAAGTCCAGGCAGAGGTCGGTTGGGAATGATACTTGACTGAGCATCCTGCTCTGGGCAGAGGTGATGTCAAGGAAGTCCTCACCCAGTTCCCAGGACAGTTCCATTCCATTGCTGTGCCACATCTCTTTCCATCCAACATTATTGTGGGTGTGACCTGCTTAAGTTTGCATTGCGGCTCTTTTTGAAAAGGAGCACAGTCTTTGCCTCTGAAATGTGGATTTTCGCTCTCAAGGACCTGAAATACCTACAGTTTGGTACAGGCTGCTCTGTCTGCTGCTCAGTTGGAAGGTGTGGCTGTGTTCCTGTTTGACTTGCTACTGCAAAAATAAACCTTGGCACATGTCTAAGAAATGGCCAGAATCTCTCTGGAACAGGAGGCAAGTTATGGAACAGAAATCCAAATAAACAAGTGTGTGTGAGGGGAAATTCTGGTCTTAACCAGACAGATTCACTCAGAAGCAACAGAGGTGGGAGAAATTCTAGAGGTGAGCTTGCACCTTTTCTTTATGACTTGTGTGGGTTCAGGGAAAGTGGAAGTCTCTTGGGCATTGTAGAGGATTTAAGGTGCCCTGATAAATGGAGGAAGAGACTGAAAGTAAGCACTTCTGCTTCTTGTGAGAAACCTCACTGAATGTTCTCACTGTAGGACACTGATAACAGGAAGTGCAAAACCAGAGCTAAGTTTCTGGCCTCTTTGTGTTTGGCTGAAGGCAGCTGGGAAGTATTTGTGCTTTGAAGTGGGTTCTGGTTTTGTTCTTATCTGAAGCATTTAACACAATCAGAAACTTGCATGTCTTATAAAAGTAAAAATAGAAGGCGCAAAAAGCTATGGTACTAGTTTACATTTCCTAAGTGTCTAACAGGGGTAGGTGGGACAGAGAAGAATGTTCAGACCTTACACCTTGACTCTGCCTGCGAGAGATGTGTGCTTGCCTGACATTAGGATCCAGGGCTGTTTCCTTCTAGGAGGATGTTTGTTACTTTTCAGGGGTAGATCTTTGCTCATGTGCGTGGTCAAGAAGGGGGGATGCTCTGAGGGAGGTGATGAGAGAACTCGGGTGCTTCCCATGGACAGGGTGCAGAAACAGCCTCTGTGGCTATGTTGCTGGTGGTGTTTGGCCGCCAGGTCTTTGTCCCCATCCTACTTATTTTCATTAGGTTTGGTCTGGTGTGGAAATCCATGTGCAGGTGTGCTTTAGTCCACACAGTGCAGCTGCCCGTGCTCTCAACTACTGCAAGTTGCTTAAGCTTCCTTAGGACAATCTTTCCACTTGATTGATTAGGGGAAAAGTAAAACCTACCTGAGCTCAGTCAGCACCCACAGATGTATGTGGTGAAATGCAAGCAAAAAAAGCCATAGCTGCACAAATCTGTAGTGATCGCAGCACCTTCCCTACAGAATTAGCACAGTTTAAGGATTTGGGAAGTGCCTGCTTTTAGCAATGCTAGAGGGTCACTTCTAGTATCACTGTACTAGCACAGTGGATTAATCATTGCAGCTTAGAAGGGATTGATGGATTGCCTATTCCATGGCTCCCTGCTGAGGAGGGATTG